GTACTTGGGGAATCTCCCTCTGCTTTCCCAGGTGCATTAGGAAGCAGGACCGGATGTGGAGCAGCTGGGACTTGAACCAGCGCTGTAGTACGGGATGCTGCACTACAATGGCCACGCCAAGAAGGTGGTAGCTCTGATCCTGACAATGTGTAGGCCTTAGCAGGGGCATCCTTCCTAGGTCACAGTGCAGGTGTGGCTGTGGGCAGGGGGTTGGGAGGACCCAAGGACAAAGTCAAATGGGTTGGAAATTCTAAGCGTTGGGAGAAACCAGGAAGCTTATTGGTCCAGGGCTTCCCTAAGCATAAAATGCTTACGGAGTACTGAATAATCATGCTGTGAGAAAGCTATTCCCTTCAGCATCCTGCAGTCTGCTTTTGATGATCAGTGATAAAGGGCATTTGCTTCTCTGCCTGAAGGATGAAGTGCCACGGGACTGGCCCTCCACTATACAAACAGCAAGAAAGCCTGACGTGGTACACGAAACGGCGACTTGCAGATGCTACACCTCGGGCAGAACAGGATTTTGATCCTGAAAGAAGGGAAACAAATAAAGCAAGTTCTACAAATTGTCCCAGTCTAGTGCCTGGAGGCGACATCCCGGCTAGACTCAGAGGGGGAGCCCATTCGTGAGTGGAGGAGAGACATCAGAGTTTGGGGAGGCCAAGAGGGCCAGGGATCTGCTCTTCCTTAGATAGGAGTCTGCACGTGCATGAGAGAAAACTCAAGGCCAGGAAGAGTCACCAGAGGGCATTTCCCGAGGGCGGGCATCTGGCCTCCGAGTTAAGGCGCCTGTGGTTGTGTCAGGCTGCCTGGGTTTGATGCCCGGCTCAGGCTCCTGACTCCGGCATCTGGCCAAAGCAGACCGTGGGAGGCAGCAGTGGTGGTTCAAGTAGCTGGCCCCTGTCACAGGGGAGAGCTGGACTGAACTCCTGACTCCCAGCTTCAGCCCCCAGCCCTGGGCTCTTGCAGGCATTTGGGGAGTGAACCAGCAGACGGGAGGCTTTCTGTCTGTCAAATAAACAAATAGAAGCCAGGCAAGCAGTTCCTGGACCTCAAGATAGGGCTGTGAATAATTTCTACCAGTCAGAGTGGAAAGACCTCAGAATACACAGGCACTGGGTAGAATTCTCAGAGTAGTGCCTTAATAGTGGAACTAATTTAAGGTTAGCCCTAAGTTAAAGCTGCACTGGACACACCCTAAGCAAGCTTAAAATCAAGATGTAAAGGGATCAAACTGATCACAAGTAACTCAACTGATCTCAAGAACAGTCCAGTGTGAGGCCAGTGTGGTACAGCTGGAAAGCAGCAGAGGATGGCCCAAGCCCCTGGGCCCTGCACCCACGTGCAGACCTGGAGGAAGCTCTTGCTTCTGCCTTAGGCCTGGCCCAGGCCTGGCTGTTGCGGCTGTTTGGGGAATGAACCAGCAGATAGAAGATCTCTTTCTCTCTGTCTCACCCTCTTTCTCTAACTCTGCCTTTCAAATAAATAAACAATGAATCAATCCTTAAAAAACAAAAACAAAAACAAAAACAAAAGGGGCTGGCGTTGTGGCACAGTAGGTAAAGCTACCACCTGCATCTCATATGGGTGCCGGTTCAAGTCTTGGCTGCCCCATTTCTGACCCAGCTCCCTGGATCAGATCATGGCCTGGGAAAGCAGTGAAGGATGGACTGAGTCCTTGGGCCCCTGCATCCACGTGGGAGACCTGGATGAAGCTCCTGGCTCCTGGCTTTGGCCTCACCAGCCCTGGCCGATGAGGACATTTGGGGAGTGAACAAGTAGAGGGAAGATCTCTCTCTGTCTTTCCATCTCTCTCTGTAACTCTACCTTCCAAATAAATTAATCTTTAAAACAAAAAATGAAAAAAGAACAATCCAGTGCTATTTAAAAGAATACAACAGAATCAAGCATCCAACAAAGTCAGTTTTACAATGCTTGGCATCCAGTAAAAAATGATGAGGTATGCAATGAAGCAAAAAAGTAAGATCCATCTATAAGTGGGAAATGGAAAGGTTGGAATCAGTCAATAGAAACAGCCCAAGAACATCAGATGATGTAATTAGTAGACAAGGAGCTTAAACAATCATAAACCTTAAAATACAATCAAGTATATACAACAGGCAAAGTGTGGCCTACAGAACAAATCTGGCTTGCTGCCTGTTTTTAAATGGTTTGGAACACAGCCAAGCTCATTCAACTTTGTATTATCTATTCAGCTTTTCCTGTTGCGATGGGAAAGTTGAGTAGTGTGACAAAGCTTATCTAGGCAAAGTCTAAAATAGTTGCTACCTGAAGTTTTTTTTTAAGATTTATTTTATTTATTTAAAAGGCAGAGTTACAGAGAGAGGGAGAGACATAGAGGTCTTCCATCCACTAGCTTGTCCTCAAATGACCACAATGGCCGGGGCTGGGCCAGACAGAAGCCAGGAGCCAGGAGCTTCTTCTGGGTCTCCCATGCAGGTGTAGGGGCCTAAGGACTTGGTCCATCCTCCGCTGCTTTTCCAGGTGCATTAGCAGGGAGCTGAATTGTAAGTGGAGCAGCAGGCGCTTGCACCAGCCCTTCAATACGGGGTGCCAGCTTGTGAGCAGCTGCTTCGCAATACAGCCCCGCCCTCTAGTTCTTCCCCAGAGTCCTGACATAAAGGAAAATGGACATGATGAGGAGGAAAACTCAAGAAACAAACAAAAAGTCTCCAAAAACCTTCTCAGATTGGGGCATGCCATATTTGGAGAGCACAAAATGGATGGAGGAGTTAACATGAAGATGCATCTGGCCCAGTCTTCCCTGTGGGGGTGGGGGATGGGGTAGCTTGACTGCTGAGATGATGGCTGGGGCTGAGGGGACAGGGGAGGGGCTGCTGAGGACTGTGGCTGGGCTGGATTCCCGACACTAAGGTTTTTTTCAGCCCTTGCCAAAGGGCTGCTGGTGCTGAAGTGCCTTGCCTGTTCTACCCCAGATGTAACTCAGTGGCACAGTTGATGGTAGAAACCCTGATTCCAGCTCAGGTGGTTTTTGCTTTTTTTTTTTTTTTTTAAAGGCAGAGACACACATAGATACACACAGAGACATTTTAGCTGCTGATTCACTCCCCACATGCCTGGAACTCCAGGGGTCTCCCACATGGCTGGTAGGGACTCAACCATTGGAGCCATCACCTGCTGCCTCCCAGGGCCTGTACCAAGTGCCCTCCTCTATGGTGCTGCTAAGCTAGCTCGGACTCCTTCAAGTCCACATCACCCTAACAAGCAACACACTCTGCCAGCTGATCTAGGGCAAGAGTTCAGAGTAAGTCACCTTCATAAATATGTATTCTTAAAATGTCATCACTTAGGGCTGGTGCTGTGGTATAGTGGGTAAATCCACCACCTGTGACGCCAGCATCCCATATGGGTGCCAGTTTAAGTCTCGGCTGCTCCACTTCTGATCCAGCTCCCTGCTAATGCACCTGGGAAAGCAGTAGATGGCCCAAGTGTTTGGGTCCCTGCACCCTTGTGGGAGACCCAGAGGAAGCTCCTGGTTCCTGGCTTTTGACCAGCCCAGCTCCAGCTGTTGCAGCCAACTGGGGAGAGAATCAGGGGATGGAAGATCTCCCTGACCCACAACTCTGAATCTTAAATACATAAATCTTTTAAGAAAATAAAAAATAAAAGGGCATCACTCGCTGAAACCACTCATTGCCAGCATGTCTAATTTCATACCACCTCCATAAAAGGGATAAGATAATTATTGTGAATATTTCTTTTTTGAGAAGCTGGGTATTTTACTAAAGGTTGTACTTGGATTTTAAACATTACAGGGCTTGGAAGTCCCCACCTCCTCTAATCAAGGAAACTACAGCATGGGATTAAACGTTAAATTACTTGGACAAGGTGACACAGCTCCTAAGTCGGTCAGGACTCACACCTAGGCAGTGGGACACCAAGATTCAACCTTTGGACTGCTACACTGGGCCTTCTGTAGAGCATTCATTCTAATGCCCAGCAACTTGACTGGCCATTAATATACAAGACAGCCGAAAATGCATGCCAGATTTATTTATTTTTTTAAAAAGACTTATTTATTTGAAAGGCAGAGTGAGTGAGAGAGACAGAGTCTTACATTTGCTGGTTCACTCCTCAAAAGGCCGCAATGGCCAGAGCTGAGCTGCTCGGAAGCCAGGAGATTCTTCCTGGTCTCCCACGAAGGTGCAGAGGCCCAAGCACTTGGGCCACCTTCCACTGCATTTCCAGGCCATAGCAGAGAGCTGGATTGGAAGTAAGCAACTGGGACTTGAACCAGCGCCCATATAGGATGCCAGCACTATACCAACAGCGCTGGTCTCCTACCAGATTTTAATAGAATACTGAAAACCCATGTAAAGATGGATTTTTTTTCTATTAGGGAAGAACAAAAGGCTGAAGAGAAAATCAGACGCAGAAATTAAATTTTTCAAGTATAGTAAGACTCCATTTGCTCCATAGGCAACTACATTTATTGAGAAACTTTGGAAACATCTTATACACACAAACACTCAGCAGTTTTAGTTTTCCTGGTTTACTCCCCTCTCGTGCTACCTTCAATGATCAATAGCATTATTATGCTTAACTGGCCCAAGTGACGAAGCCAAAACAACACATGTGGCTACCCAAGAACTACTCCTTTCCCAAATCGCCATCTTCACATCTGCTCAGATGGGAAGTCTGGATGCAAAAACGATGTTTCTGGCAGGGTGATTATTCACTAGTCACGTAGCCAAGGACAGGGCCAATGGTCAACAAGCCTGGAGTTCTTCAGGGGTGGGAAGATTTTATCTGCCAAGGCTCATTTGGATATCTATGATGTCACTCGTGGGCCATACAACCTCATCAACTTAAAAACTAGCCTGCAAGAGATTTACTGAATTTTGAGTCCTGCTGTGATTGCTTGGCAGGCCCACCAATTGATTTCACGGGCCTTCTACGGCCTGCAGGCTGGATGTTCCCCAACGCTGAAGCTAGTGACAAGTATCAAGCAGCACAAGTCCTTTATCAACAGACTTTTAATAGCATGATTTAAAAGGACAGCATATAAAGAAATAAAACAATGTTTTTCAAATTGCATATTTAATGGCCATTCCATCAAAATCAAGCAGAATCACATTGCAAAAGTATTATAGTGTGTGTATATATATAGATATATTATTTTTAAGGTGCATTTTTCAAGTTTTATTTGGACTTTATTTGATCCTACCTGCCTGAGGTGTTCTTGCAGCTACAGTTAACACAGAATATTCTGAGGTTGGTGGCTTCTCATGCATTGAAGGATGAGAACCTAATACCCCAGATATCTTGGGTGTATTAGAAATTTCAAAAGCCATGTGTCTATTCAGAAAACTTAACATCAGCCACGAAAGACATTTTCAACACAAAAAAATTTAGGCACTCAATACTTTGGAATAGCCACAAAATATTCCAACAATTGTTAATGCACTTTGTGATTATTCTACTCAAAGAGAATTCTCAATTAAAACCTATGCTTATTAAATAACATTTTCAATCTGGGCCCGCTGAACTCCGATAGTGACTGTGACCGTTTGCAGCGTTGTGCTGTGGCTGGGTAATGCTGAACTCGGCCTCATCCTTCAGTGAACCCTCTTTTTTTCATACAAGACCCCAGGCTTTCCCTGGTGAGTATCTCCCAGCTTTTTCTGCTAATATGTGAATAACAATGCCCATAATCAGCGTTAAAGGTGTTTTCGTTTTCTTCCTACAACTTTAAAAGGTAGTCTTCTATTTTCCACTGTAGCATGGAGACCTGAAAACATCACCCAGGGATTTTCACACTGTGGCCTGTGCTGCTGTCCTCACTGGTCTGGAGGGAAGGGGGAGGATCATTGTGTCACTCTGCTGTGCCCAAGGCCACAGCCACCTCTGATCTCTGCAGGGTGGTTCTGGGGCTTCCACCTCCTCACCTAAGACTGAAGTGGCAATGACGCCTGCCCACAGAGATGCCATTAACTCTACATGAACTTCCTGAACTTGGCGTGGGTTAGCAGTATCAGGATTGAGAGCAGGAGGCTAACTGTTCCTGTTGAGAATAAGGTGCATTTGCTCAGGGGTATTCATTTCTGCAGCTCAGAAAACAATTAGAAAGCCTTCTTGGGATTCTGAGAAGATTACAGCCTGCAAATTGACTCATCACAATCACCAATGACTAACATACGCAGATCTAGCCAGAGAAATGAAGTTGAGACTTATTTGACTATAAGTCATACAGAGAGGAACACAGTAATTTCCCATAGGAGAATATGGGATTTCATCATGGGAATCACTGGTAAGTTAATTACACTGCTAATGCTTTCTGGCTTACTTGAAGAGACAATTAGCATAAGTAAATCATGAGTGAGATGACAAGTTGCTTAACATTTGTTTTCGTTCACTGGATGAGATCTGAGGTTGCGGTTAAGCCTCTGCATAATTAGGAGATGGGGAGGGGAGCTGTAAGGAACGAGAGGTTGTTCACTCTAGTTTTAGCAAATACAATCAGAACCAGTTATTACCAGTTGGCAAACATCGATGTTAAATGCAAAACAAATACTCATTCAAGTTTTAGAAAGTTAACCTCACCAAGAGGTGACAGAAGATGGGGAACACTCGGTGGATGACTGCACGCTCGAGGGGTTCATCGGCAGCCTCAGCCATCCCTCCCGAGCAGAGAGCATGAGGCGTGAAGAACGAGGAATGGGGTGCGTAACAGAGACTGCTTTTCATCCCCACCCAGAACTTCATCTTCTTATGGGTATTCTCAGTCTTCTTCTCTCCCAAAAAGAAACAGCAGACCAATGGATGTTCTAAACAACACCATCTATCTCGTGATCAGGGCTTGAAGCTCACGACAGCACGGTCAAAGTTACAGCCCCTGTCTGGTGTTTCAGGATGGCGACAGCTTGCTCGTGAGTAACACCTTCCAGGGTCTCGCCGTTAACGGCTAAAATCTGATCACCTCGCTTTAACCGGCCATCATCTGCAGCTGCTCCCTACAAACAAGAAACATGCCAGGTCAACTCGTCGCAAAGCAGTTTATATGAAACTAATATGCAAACCTCTAACTGGTGTCTGGAATGCACACACTTTAAAGATTATCAAAGTTTTCTTTCAAGGTAATCTTTTAAATTAAGAAAAATGTAGGATGTTGTTTAAATAATAATGGCTGAACTGTCACCATAATTATGAATCACTGAAAACATACAAGGAGAGATATACTGACACTGTTCTTTTAATGCAAGTTCTTTTAATACTGAATATTTTAATATTCAGCATTAAATAGAATTGGATGTCATTTCATGTCATATTCATGGAAATGTCATATACAGAAAAAGAGGCAGAATTGCATCTGGTTTTAGCCTTATTGCCAATGCTATCATCAGATAGAGTTCCCACTGCATTATCACCACTGTGATCTGCCAAAAATAAGTGTAGACTTTAGATGGTATGTGAATTCTATCTCAAAAAAGCTGATTTATTTATAAAAGTAGAGCATCTCCGAAATTTTGTAACATCATATTCTAAAGCTTCCACCTTACCTTTGATCACCTAAATAGGTTTCTAAACGACTACTTTTATTTTACACTCAGTCATGCATGGCTCTGCAAAAAGGCACAAAGCAAGTGAGACTTGAGGTGTTTCGCATTCAAAAGCTGACTGCCTAAAACTGTCAGTGCTATTACTAGAAACATTCTTGACTTCTAAGGGAAGAGAAGGCCTAGGAAAAAATTTGCAAGAGGCTTTCTCCATTTATTGGGGTAGCTGTGAAATTCCTTTGAAAAGTCAGCACTGGAAGTCCTCCCAATGAGGCTAACTGCAGCCCCTGCCTCCCTCACTCAGAAGCCCCGCTAAGAGGCTCTAGCATGCCCAACACGGCATCCACCTGCAGCATGGAGGGCCAAAGGTGCTGGGGCAGTGCTCTACGGTTTCTAACCTGCAAGAACATGGGATTCCTGACGGGATGTATATGCTATGAGGAGTATTAGAAACCAGGTCTACACCCGGAGTGAAATGCCGAAATTAACTGGCAACCTCACTCAACTCCCTTAAGAAAGTTATATGTCAATTGAACTAAAGACAAGTGGATCTAGTGGATGAAGTCAGAATTACTAGGCAAAACTGATTTTTATTAAGTTTTACAAAAGTTGGGGCAGATGTGTGGCACAGCTATTAAGATGCTGCTTGGAAGCCCTGTGATCCTATGTGGGAGTGCCTGGACTCAGGTCCCTGTTACGCTTCTGACCCAGTTTCCTGCTGGTGTGTACCTGGGAGGTAGCAGGTGATGGCTCAAGTTCTCGGGTTCCTTCTAAGCATGTGGCAGACCCAGACTGCATGTGGGTTCCTGGCTTGGCCTGGCCTTGCCCTGCCTATTGCAGGCATTTGGGAAGTGTGCCAGTGGATCGATGATCTCTGTCTCTTTCTGCCTGTCACTCTGCCTTTCAAATAAATAAATATAACTTAAAAAATACATTTATATATTATGACTTTTAAGGGCTTCAGAAAATCTCGGATATCTATAAATAATTCAAGTTTTCATTTGTAGTAATGCAAAATAAGGATACTTTTTCAGGGCCAGCGCTGTGGCTCAGTAGGTTAATTCTCCACCTGCAGCGCCAGCATCCAATGTGGGCACTGGTTCTGGTCCTGGCTGCTCCTCTTCCAATCCAGCTCTCTGCTGTGGCCTGGAAAGGCAGTGGAGGATGGCCCAAGTCCTTGGGCCCCTGCACCCACATGGGAGACCCGGAAGAAGCACTTGGCTCCTGGCTTTGGATCGGCGAAGCTCCGGCTGTTGAGGCCATTTGGGGAGTGAACCAACGGAAGGAAGACCTTTCTCTCTGTCTCTCTCTCACTGTCTGTAAATCTACCTCTCAAATAAATAAGTAAAATCTTTTTTTCTTTTTAAAAAAGGATACTTTTTCAACTTTCTAGGATTTGTACACTGTCTTAGGTACTGCAGTGCTTACTGGTAATTACTAACTTGTGTTTATCCTCCTACTTTATCAATGGCATTTGTGGAAAGGGAAGGAGAAAATAAATTCAGAACTGTGGCTCTACTCACTTCCTATTTGTCCTAGTCTGGTCAGTGGGCCTTCTCAGATGCTGGAAAATGGGTTTTTACTATAGGTTGGGCATCTCTAATCCAAAAATCCAAAATGCACCAAAATTTGAAAACTTTTGAGTACATCATGAGGTCACCTTGATCTCACTGATGGGTCACTGACAAAATGCAGGCACACTAAACATAGTGTATACAATTATGTTTGGGCTAGGTGTATAGGGTATAGAACATACATGAATTTTGTGTTTAGACTTGGGTACCATCCCTTAGATATCTCATTTATGCCTATGCAAATATTCTACAATAGAAAAAAAAAACCTTAAAATCTGAAACCTAGGGCCGGCACTGTGGTGTGGTGGGTAAGTCTGCACTTCTGGCTTCCTATATGGTGCTGGTTTGAGTCCTGGCTGCTCCACTTCTGATCCAGCTCTCTGCTATAGCCTGGGAAAGCAGTAGAAGATGGCCCAAGTCCTTGGGCTCCCCTGCACCTGGAGTGGGAGACCCAGAGGAGGATCTGTCCAGCTCCACCATTGCGACCATTTGGGGAGTAAACCAGCAGATGGAAGGTCGGTCGGTCGGTCGGTCGGTCGGTCTGTCTGTCTCTCTCTCTCCCTCTCTGCCGCTCTGTAATTCTGCCTTTCAAATAAATAATTTTTTTTAAAAAAATCTGAAATCTTTTTGGTCCCCAGCATTTTGAATAAGGGATCCTCAACTTTGTAGCCCCCTTGTGGTCCATTTTAAGGACTCAAAGCGTGACATGTGATATTTACTCAACAATGGGGATTATGCAACAAAATGAAGCTCCGATAACAATCAAGCTCCTGTTTCATATTTCGCAGGCTCTGAAAAATTGCTGCCTACATTTTTAGGCCAATCTCTTGTTGGCTTAGGGTACAACTGAGCTAATGAGGGGCTAATAACTAAGGCTGGCTTTGATTTTGAAGTTTTCCAACCACATGTACCTGAAAGACAGTGGCAGGACTTGATAGCCATAGCCTTTATTTTATTTTAATTTAATTTTTTTATTTATCTGAAAGAGTGACAGAGAAGGAGAGAGAGAGAGAAGGAGAGGAGAAGACAGGGAAAAGTGCAGAGATGGGGAGGCAGAAGTTTTCCACCCCCAAGTACCTGCAATAGCGGGGGCTGGGCCAGAGCAGACTGAAGCCAGGAGCCAGAACTCAATCGCAGTCTCCCATGTGGGTGGCAGGAACCCAAATACTTGGGTCGTTATCCCCTGGCTTCCCAGGGGCATCAGTAGGAAGCTGGATTAGAAGTGGGAACTGGCACTGTGATATGGGAGGCAGGTGTCCCAAGCTGCAGCCGCCATGCCTGCTTGTTGACAGCCTTTTAATCAGATTGACTTTCTTGCAACTGTGACACCCTGAAGTGCATGTGATGCTTCAGATTTCTTGGGGGAAAACCTTCAGTGGACCAAATTCAACAAAAAGTTAAGCAAAAGAACTACTACAAGAAGCTTAGGACACCAAAAGGGCCACATAAAGTGTACACTCGGAGCTCAAGAAATCTGGAAAGAGAAAATACTTCTAAGAATACATGAGGGTACTTCAAAATGTATCAGAAAATGGAACTGAAAGATAAACTGGTGCAAAAAAATCTATGCATGTGAAGGGTTTTCAGATATTTTATGAACTGTGTATTTTGAAGAAAACTATGCATGGATTTCAGAAGTTTTATACCAGAATCAACATCTTTTTTAATTTTTTAAATTTATTTGAAATGCAGAGAGAAGGGGGGGGGGAGAGAGAGAGAGAAGAGAGAGAGAGAGAAGAGAAAGAGAGAAAAGAGAGAGAATGAGAATGAATCTTCTACTCCCTGGTTCACTTCCCAAATGCCCTCAAAGCCAGTCACTCAGTACTGGGCCAGGTGAAGCCAGGAGCCAAGAGTTCAATCTGGGTCTCCCATGTGTGTGATGGGGACCCAAGTATCACCTGCTGCCTCCCAGGGTGCACATTATCAGGAAGCTGGAGCAGAAGCAGAGTAACTGGGGCTCCAACCAAGCACTCCAATTTTGGATAGGGGCATCCCAAGAGGCAACTTAACCTTTGTGCCAAATGCCTGCCCCTGAAGTTCTTTTTAATTCCATTTTTAACAAACTTTTTTAAGAAGCCTTCTATGTTCAGTGTTAAAGAAACATGAAATATATATATATATATATATATAAATATATTTCCTAGATTTTTAAAATTCCTATGGGGGAAACATTTAGCATAGTGTCAGAATTCATTTTAGAGAAACTTCACTATTAAAAAAAAATCTCCTTTGCTAGTTTTTGGTTTATTGATTCTCTATGGAAACTGTAACAAAAACAGGAAATTAAATCTTATAATACACTCTATGGGACTATCTAAATAATGATAATAGTTATTACTTGCATTAGAATTTTTATTGACTTTGCATGAAAAGGGCCTTGAGCCAGGCCTTAGAAAGTTTCTGTTGCAAACTCAGAGCTCACCATTTTTAGATGTGCCTCACTTTACAAAAAAAGGCTCATGCCTTAAAAACTCGAACATATTCAGGATAGTCAACGTTTATGGCTTATAACGTTACTATTTACACACGTGCATCCTAAATGAGCCCTTGCCACGGTGACCTCAGGAAGTACTTTCGGTGTGAATTTCTGTGGGCTCCTTGTTCTCAGGACCCTGTCCCACTGCGACTTGATAGGGGCTTCCTTTAAAAAAATGCACCCACAATGACATTCTGCCTTCAGGGGTACATTCTGGTGTCCTGACTCCCCTCCCACCAGTCTCTGAGAGACTGGTCACAGGTGCCGCGGGGGCCGCTGCTGGGCTGCTCGCTCAGGTCGGAGGCATCAGAAGGCAGGGCAGCTGGGGCAGCCACGGCTACCACGGAGGGGGCTGGTGGTTACAGACGTGCTGCCGGCGCTCTGTGCTGCCAGACAGGCCAGCGGGACCGCTCACGGGGCAGCCTTTCTGCCGGCCTTAACTCCGCAGCTGGCTCTTTCAAAAGCAAACCATAATAACACCAGGAAAAGAAGAATGCTTACTCCTCCTCACAGGGTTAAGTGTGTCTCAGGAGAAGGCTGGGCATTATGGGGCTTAGCTCCCTCGGGGAGTCTCTGGCTGGCACAGTCTCTGGGCTGTTTCTGAGCCGTTTCTCCTGGCTGTTGTCTATCATCAGTCCTCTAGGAATGTGTCTGTGAATAACCTGTGCTCCTAACAGGCACTCAGGCAATATGTGAGTAGGGATGCAAATGCCCCGTGCAGGTCAGAAGCAAATGCCAGATGACCTAAGGGTTTCGTGTCTTGGCATGGGTGGGCCCAATTAACAGGTGATAAGATGTGCCCAGGAAAAAAGCAAGTTTTTGTTAAATGTGCCACAGAGCTTTCTAGAAAGAGATGAAATCGATGGCACTTCTTCCTCTGAAGACCTATACTTTTTTTTTTTTTGAAAAATAAAGCAGGAAGGGACAGTTGGCTCAATTTATAAATAATTGATGGTGATAAAACTACTGAAGAAAAACACTGTAGGCTCAATATTGATACTCTGCAGAAATTTTCAACATTTATAACAAATTTAAATTCCAATTAAAAAAAAACATAATGAAGTGAAAAATAATGACTCTGAGAGCCCCCTAGAGGCAGGACTTGGAACTGACACCACAGCCTTGTATCTTGGAAGTAATATTTAATTGCTGAAAAATACTTCATTGTGTGGTCCTAGTCTAAGCTTCCGGGCTGAGCCTGCATGGTCGTGACTGAGTAGTGGGTGCGCCGTGGCGTCCCGAGGATTCCTGGGAGGCATGGCCAGGAATGCCTGTGCCAATCTGAAGCCGGTACAAAGCTTTCTGCCTCGGCCCTCTGGTGCCTGCGATTCTCTCTCCAGGGAGAAAGCCAGAGTCAAATCTTTTTCCAAGCCCAGGACAATCCTTCTAAGGCCAGCCTCTAAAGAGTGTGGCGCTGCTGTCTCCCTGCGTTGCTGGAAGAAGACAGTTCGAGTCTGTGAGCCTCTACTTCTGCAACAGTCCAAGGAAGATGACACTTCTCGTGACTGCATTAGCATGGAAGGATTCTTCGTTCACTAATCTGGTACAAGAATTCCCTATAATCTTCAAATGAAATAAGCATACATGCACACAACCAGGTTAAACCCAAAGTAATGCAAAGCCAAGCACTTTTAGAAAAAGTCTCACCTACGTTTGATTTAAAAAAAAAAAAGAAAGAAAAGCACAGTAAAAAAGGAAAAAAATACCTTTGCAAATATAGTCTTGACATAAATTGGCAGGTCTCCATGGGGACTTCCATAACCCCCTACAATACTAAACCCCAATCCTTCAGAGCCTTTCTCCAAAGTAATAATCTTAGGTGGAGGTGTTCTGAAAACACAATGCACGCTGTTTAATTCAGGCACAGATATCCAGAGGGAATTTCATCTTAAGGGAAGAACACAGATTTGAGAGAGACTTTCATACTGGGAAGGTCAATTTTTCAAATCAAACACTCAGAGAGCAATCTAGAAACTTATGGAAAATATTCCATGTCATGCCAATGTTCTTAATGTTTTAGGGGTTTCTCTTTAACAAAACCCACCATTTCCTAATTCAAGTCATGATGCTGAAACTGTCCAAGTATGCTTGTATAGGCTGAGTTTTAAACTCTTAAATGTACCGTTTAGAGTTGGAGGGGATAGACAGATGCAGCGTGCCATGTTCGTGTAGCAGGAGACTGCCAGTGTTCAGGTGCACACGTGCCCTAACAGGTAACAGCAGCCCTGGAGCTCAGGAAACTGCTCTTCTGCCTGAATACCTAGGCCACCCCTGCTGTATCCCATCCACCTAGGGCAGGAACTCTCCTCCAAGCATGGGCCGAGGTGAGGCTCTCCTGACTCCCTTGGGAGGAGGAGCCATATCCTTTGTGCCCCTCTGCACTTGATCCAGATTTCCAGCAAGGCCTTTGTTATATCATACCGTGATTCCTTAACCACTTTTCCCCTCCACCACATGAGGAACTTCTCCACGTTCCCAGCACTATGCATTGTGCTTGTCATAAACTCAGAATCATGACTGTGCGGGTGAGAACTGACTCCAGGACAGAAGAGAGAAACCAAAGTGATGGAGAACGGGTCGGGAAAAATCTGTTTCAAGTGTGTAATTTAGATGTTAAAGCTTTGTCCAGTGTGGAAGTCTTCTCTCACAGAAACAAAATGGCCAAAAATTCAATCATTCACGTGGGCACTAGTAATCGAGTCTAAGCTAGGCTGATGCCAGGTTCTTATTTCCAAATGCTATAGTTCCAAGGAGGTCTGGGGCTCTGGGCCTCAGACGCTTACTTGCGGTGCGGAGGGACGCACATGTGGATGTGCATTCCGTAGCATCACCTGGTTTGTGGCAACATGCATGTCTGAGAGGTAGAGCCTTTGGATACAGACTCAGCCATTCCTGCTCTTGGAGAACTTTGCAAGGTGGGGATAAAGGGAGTGCTGAAAATGCTGTTCCAATTAGAATATTCTTCCCTCCCCGCACCTCGATCCTGCCTGGCTTACTTGAGGGCGGGTTGATTTCAGCTGGCTCACGCTGATAACCAGTGTTTGTTGATGTTGTTCATCGTGCAGCCATAGTACGCGCTGGCTGTGCCATATACATTGCTAACTGTTCCGAACGTCACCCTTCTTCCAATTCTTTCTACACTCAGCTCCAGGATTAGTTTCAGAACACTTCCTAATTGAGTTGTGCCCCATCTCCGTGGTTTCACACTTCCCCTCTCACTGATCTTAGCCCTCCTCCATTTAACATCTCTTATCATTGTGGATTTGTGGGTCTGTTTTTCCAGTTCTCTGGCAACTCCCTGATGATCGGGGCCATACCTTTACCTACACTTCTGATCCACAGTCAAGACGCGTTATCCATTGCGCCACTGGCCCTGTGCTTTTTACCTACATTTCCAAGTCAGAAAGGCACTCAATAAATATCAGTTGAAATTATGATGAATTACCCCCGATGGCTACATGATCATGACGTCATGATTGCGGCTCTACTTTTTACCATTCTGTGGCCTTGTAAGTAGTTTGAGTAATGGCCCACTGGCTGGACACGCATTTGATTCATGTTTCATCTTGGAAACCCAGCCCCCATTTCCAAGGATATTGGTACGGGAACCTAGATGTCTAAAGCCAGTGTTGTAGAGCAAGCTCCGAGGGCCACAGTCATTAGAATTGTGCCTATATCTATAATCAAGAGCATTTTTTTTTCTTTTCCTGAGGGTTGGGCTAAGGCATGGCTCTATTTCTCAACTAGGAACATGTGATGGAGCTTGCTTTTATTTATCTTGCAAAATCCTAAGATTTTCAACCAGTTAGTTTTAACTTTCATAGAGAAGGCCAGTTTTATTTTTTTAAATTTATTTTAAAAGGCTTCACTGTGACCAGTTATGGAATTATGAGTGATTTTTAAATCATTTTATGCTATGGTTGCCAACTTGCCAGGAGCTGTGCGGTAATAGCACAGGAGTCAGGATTTCAAGGGCATCTCCATCTCAGAGCCACCCACAAGGATGAGAAAGGGACATTACTGTCCCTATAAAGGTCCAGATTTTTTAACTTTTAAAATGCTACACATTTATATTTTTGTCACATCTTAATGGCATGCATTGCTTTTGTAATGAGAATACAGCAGAATGAGTTTGGTCAATTACTCTTTCCTCATGAAAAACAAACTCTAAAATATCATTTAGGCTGATGGACTCGCAGGAAAAGTTGGGAATGGCTGTAAGTATGAGAACCTTCAGATGGACTGTCCAGGCCGGCCAGCAAGCATTTACCGAGCACCTGCGGGCACTGTGAGGAATAGTTTCAGGCAGCATTTCTCAAAGTATGGGTCCTCTGCCCGTCTGTGGCAGAACTCTGGGAAACACATTCCAATTAGATTTCTGCTTCCGCTGTAGACCACTCCATCAGAATCTCTGAGAATGGAGTCTGGGCAGTTGGCCTCTTTACGCTCCTTGGATTGTTCTTATGCCTACTCTAGTTTGAGAAACTCTGGTTTAATGAACAACTTTGATTGCAATGACTGGTTTTAATGAAACATGCCAGCAAGTATAACAATAAGATTCAATCTGTGGTTGAAGTTTTTGAGTGGACACTTGTAGAAATACGGCTCCTTGTATCATCAGGCAGAAGGCATCTGGGCTCTAACTCTGACATCTCTGCAAGGCATGGCTCGGCACCAATGTGACCAGACGTGGTCTGAGTGCAGGCCGTGCACCAGTGACCTTTTCGGAGCTTGCATGGTGGGACAAAGCCTGACGAGAAAGAATCGGCTGCTGGCATCTTCCGGGAGACTCTCTGACCTAGAACAAGGAAGGCCCGTTTCCCTTCCTCTCCTTCTGAGAGCACACCTTGGCATCTGGACAAGTTCCCATGAGTTTTGTCCACACACAAAAGACGCCCTGCACGTCCAGTGTACTCACTCTGCGTCTTCCAGATGGCACTCGGCGGCGGGCGAGCCGAGGTGGTAGCCTGCAGACATGCTTTCAAGCTGAGTGGCTATGGCACTTATATTGGTATCTGCCACAACCTAGGGGAAAAATTAGAACATATTTCATTATCAGGCAGGGCCCTTTCTCTTTCTCTGCCTATATAAACAAATGAACATTAAAAAAGGTATTTAAATACTATAGAAGTGATGCCAGTCCCCAAGCCTCTGTCTCCAGTGCCACCCTTACCAAACTCCAGATCCACATTGGCATCCACCACGCTGACATCTCCAGCGGGGCGTCTAGCAGGTCCCCCAGACCTAAGAGGCCCAAACCCAAACCCTTTCCCCATCCAGCCTTTGCTCCTGCAGCCTCCCTTGTAACTTGATTGCTCCAGCTTCATACACACCCTGGCTTCACTCTTGACTTTTCTCTCTCACAACCCACAGTCAATCCTCATACAAGTCTGTCTAGCTTCAAAGCCAACACTATTCACAACAGTCTTCTCATCACTGGCTCTGCTTCAGCCCTTCGGTCGATCACAGCTGGAGTAGTCTGTTCAAACACAGCAGATTATTTCACTCCTTGGCTTAAAACTGAAACTGTCCTCTCATGGAATCATCTGGCGGTGGTCTGTCCTGGGTGGTCTCTGTCCCAGCACGCTGGCCCCCTGGCTGTTTGTGTCCCAGGCCAGACACTGTGCCTTCTGCCTGGAATGCTGTCCCTTAGGCGTCCTCCTGGCCAGCTCCCTCCCTCCATTCACTTCTTTATCCTAAGCCACCTCCCCTGGCCACTGCAACTAAAATGTCCACACTCACATCCTGGCCCAGTGTTTCACGCCCCCTTGCTTGCTCCTTGTTTCCATCTTATCACAATTCCTCGTTTATCTTATTTGTTGTTGACCATTTCACACTAGAACGCGAGGGCAGGAAATCTGTCTACTATGCCTTCCCGTCATGTGGAAGAGTGCCTGGCACATAGTAGGTGTTCAGTAAATAACAGAGGGAAAGGATGAATCGATGAGGATCTCTGGTTCTCTGGGGTTTATCTTTTAGATGGTCCTCAACAAAGGTGTAGAACCATGGCACGGAAACATTTACTTCTTATTCTGCAAATAACATCCATAGCACTAAGAAGAAACACGGAGTAGCTCTGAGAGCCACCCTACAACTGAGAGTGGGGTCCCAGGGTCCAACTTCTGCCACTTCTTGATGCTGCGCCCGAGTCCCAGCTTCCCCATCGATTGACTAGGAGTCACAAGGGCCTGCCCTGCCGCCTTGTCCTGGAGTTGTGCTTGCTCACTGAGGCACTGGAGCTCTTTTCTTCTTCTTCTTTTTTTAATAGAAAGCTTTTATTTGATAAATATAAATTTCGTAAGTACAACTTTTCAATTCTAGAGGTTCTCCCCCCTATAGCCGCCCTCCCACCCCCAAACCATCCCACTTCCTACTCATTTTTAACTAGCTTTATATATAGAAGATCAACTCTGTACTAAGTAGAGATTTCCACAGTTTGCACCCACACAGACACACAAAGTATAAAGTACTGTTTGAAGACTAGTTTTACCGTTAATTATCATAGTATAACTCATTAAGGACAGAGATCCTACATGGGGAGTAAGTGCACAGTGACTCCTGTTGTTGATTTAACAACTGACATTCTTATTTATGATGTCAGTAATCACCTGAGGCTCTTGTCATGAGCTGCCAAGGCTATGGAAGCCCAGAACCCCTGCTGCTGGCCAAAGGCCCTGCTTCTAGCTTCCAGTTGGCCCTCGGGATCGCAGGCAATTGATTCCAGGACCCCCTGGAGACACCAAAACCTAAATCCTTTCCATCAAATGGTGCAGTAGTTGCAAATAACCCACACACATTCTGTGTACTTCAGATCTTCTCTACCTAATAGGTCCAAAGTGCTAAGCAGACAGTTGTTTTACTGTCTTCTTTAGGGAATGATGACAAGAACAAGAAGCCTGCACATGCTCAGTAGAGAAGTAACCACTGTGGGCCTAACTATACTTTCACTCCAAGTTGGCTGAACCCACAGATACAGCACCTGCGGATATGAACGGCCCATGGAAATCCTCACGGCGCAAGTGCAGGGGGCTCTGCGGACTGTGGTGCACAGCAGCTGGATCTGGCTGCAGTGTCAGAACTGGCCCACAGAGGGTGCAGCTGCCTTGTCGCCTAGCTGTGCTGCGAGCATTAAGTAGAGAACCACAGGGCCTGTTTTGAGGGAAGCATCCCACTCTGAGGGAAAACACTGCAATGCCTACGTTGCAGGTCTTCTGGAAACACCATCAAAGAACAACTGAATGAACTGAGGAGCATTCAGGGGAAAAGATTTAAGGAGGAAATAACAGCTTTTCCCTGCCCACAGTCTCGTAGCTCTGTTGCTCTTTGCCACAGCAAGCTATGGAGGCGCTGTCTTCGGCTCTCAGCATACCCAATCTTTATAAACCCAGTCCCTTCCAGTCCCACCCTCATCTTCTGGCCCTGCTCTCCTCCTCTGCTGGGCTCTGCTCTGCCATCTCACCGACTCCTAGACTCACTTCCCACTTGCACACCCAGGCTCAAGCTGAAGAGCCCAGCTTAGTCCGCCTTATTCAGTTGCTGGCCTGACACCTGCATTTTACTGTTACTATCATTAAATATCTTATTTATTTGTGAGGCAGAAAGCTCTTCCACCTACTGGTTTATTCGCCTGAATGCACCGAAGGGTCAGGAGGCCAAAGCCAGGAGCTAGGAACTCAGTCCATGTCCCCAAAGTGGGTGGCGGCAACTCAACTACTTGAGTTGCTTCCCAGGGATCCATATTAGCAGGAAGTTGGAATCAGAACCAAAGTTGAACCCACTTATACATTCAGCCATGAAACACAGGCATCCTGACCAGCTGCTTGCTAGAAATATCCTAGGTGGGGGCCAGCACTGGGGCAAAGCAGGTGAAGCCATTGCCTGCAGTGCCGGTATCCCAGGTGGGCGCTGATATGAGTCCTGGCTGCTCCACTTTCCATCCAGCTCTCTGCTATGGCCTGGGAGGGCACTGGAGGATAGCCCAGGTCCTTGGGCCCCTGCACCCATGTAGGGGACCCACAGGAAGCTCCTGGCTCCTGGCTTTGGATTGGCACAGCTCCAGCTGTTGCAGCCAATTGGGGAGTGAACCAATAGATGAAAGACCTCTCTCTCTCTCTCTCTCTCTGCCTCTCTGTAACTCTTTAAGATAAATAAGTAGATCTTAAAAACAAAACAAGGAATATCCTAGGTGTAATATTGACAACACTTGATTGCTGGCTGATGCTTGTCCAACTCAAAGGGAGCGAGGATGCTAGCCAGAGGCATTATTCTCTGAATAGCAACCAGATACCTCCTGCCATATAGAACCCACCACTGAGGTCCCTGGAGTCTACATCCCAAACCCTTCTTGAATCTATGGCCACCCTAATTCAATCCACCAGTGTTAAGTGGCTTTCAGCCAGAGTCCTCACTCACCCTCTCATCTCTTTCCCTGAACAGGGGCCAGTTATCCCCTCAAGTATACAACAGATATGCCACTCCCTTGCTTAAAACCTCTCAGTGTTTCCCCTCTGCATACAATAAAATAAAAATTCAGCCCCCTAATTTTGTACTAGCCCCTCCCTAGTCTTTCCTAATTCCATCTCTGCTTGTCTACTCCACTCTACATTGAACATCTCTCCCCACCTGCTCTTCCCTAAACCAGCCAGCCTGGCATCAGCTTGAGTGTCACTTCCCTCACACAAGGGTATAAAATGGAAAAATGGAATTAAAAGATAGGTTTATTTTGATGCAAAAAATCTGAAATCCATGCAATTTTTTCATAATCAGCATTTTGGAAGTATCTTTCTTAATCACTCTTGCTTAAATTTATCTCTTTGGTTTTCTTCTCCATAGTACTCTGCTACTCTGCTTCTGATCCGTCTCCCTGCTAAAGCACCTGGGAGGCAGTGGAAGATGGCCTAACCACCTGAGCCCCTGCCACCCACGTGGGAGACCTAGAAAAAGCTCCTGGCTCCTGGCCATTTGGGGAGTGAACCAGTGGATGGAAGATCTCTCTGTCATTATGCCTCTCACATGAATAAAAAAAGAAAGTAGAAAAGAAGAATAAAAACTTTCATGGCCGGCGCCGCGGCTCACTAGGCTAATCCTCCACCTAGCAGCGCCGGCACACCTGGTTCTAGTCCGGTAGGGGTGCCGGATTCTGTCCCGGTTGCCCCTCTTCCAGGCCAGCTCTCTGCTGTGGCCAGGGAGTGCAGTGGAGGATGGCCCAAGTACTTGGGCCCTGTACCCCATGGGAGACCAGGAGAAGCACCTGGCTCCTGCCATCGGATCAGCGCAGTGCACCGGCCACAGCGTGGCGGCCATTGGAGGGTGAACCAATGGCAAAGGAAGACCTTTCTCTCTGTCTCTCTCTCTCTCACTATCCACTCTGCCTGTCAAAAAAAAGAAAAAAACAATAAGAAGGAACCGGATCAGGAATTTCTAAATTTCAACAAAGCAGAATGAGACTGATGGAGGTTTTTTTTTTTTTTTTTTTAAAGGCTTATTTACTTTATTTAAAAGAGACAGAGGGAGGGGAGAGAAAGGGAGGGAGGGAAGGAGAGAAGATAAGATATGTTTAATCCTCTGGTTCACTCCCCAAATGACTCTAATAGCTGAGGCTGGGCCAGCCTGAAGCCATGAACCTGGAACTCCATCCAGGTCTCCCACGTGGGTGATAGAGGCCCAAGCACTTGGGCCACTTTCTGCTGTTTTCCCACATGCATTAGCAGGGAGCTGGATCAGAAGAGGAACAGCCAGGAATGAAACCAATGTTCTGATATGGGATGTCAGTATTGCAGGGAGCAGCTTAGCTTGCTATGCCACAACACCAGCCTCTGTGGAAGTTTCAAGTCTTTTAAGAAGAAAACAAATTATCACAATCCAGGCAGTCACTGAGCGGAATGACCCAGGCTGCTAGGACACGGGCAACTCCTCAGGGAGGGATGTGCTGAATGGTCTGGACACGTGCTGCTAGCTGACCTCATCACAGCCACTATGTGGCTAAGCAAGAAAGCCACTGCATCCTTTCTCTAGGGTTGCTTCCC